TGAACTGTGTGCTGACAGTCAGAGTGCAATCAAGCTAATAGAATCTGGACAAGTAACGCGTAGGAGTAAGCACATAGACGTTAGGTATTACTACATAAGTGAACAATTGAAAGAGAAACTGTTTTCAATCAAATATTGTAACACTGAAACTCAGGTGGCAGGCATTTTAACAAAACCACTATCACCAGAGAAATTTACCAAGTTTAGAGACATTATACTTAAGAAGAAATAAGTTTGATTTTGATAAGACTGAGAAAATTATAATTACATGTACTAATTTTGTAATCTGAAGACCAAAATTACTAAGTGTTATTCAATTTAACTTTGTAAAACAGCTAATAATGTTGATAACATTTTGAAATTGAGGAGGAATGTTGAGATCTAGTAATGTAAAAATGTTCAAATTGGTAATAGTGATCTATATTCATCTGTTTTTGTTTTGTATTATAATAAAAAGTTTCTTCTCATCCAATATGGCTGTTAAGTGATATGTAAGCATGACACAAAGAAAATCAACAGGAACAACATGGAACAGTGCTTACAAGATACAACTGACAATGAACACGGCCAACTTGTGACTGCTGCCTGGTGCTCTTTTGAGACAGACAGAATTGTCACTGTGAACCAATACCCTTTTAAGATGGAAAGTACTGAGCACTGATACAAGGGATCATTATGGATAACAGATGAGACCATAAACACACTTATTCTTCTGAAATAGAGATCACAGGTCTAAAGCATGGCATCCTGGTGAGCTTCCCTTTCAAAGTCATGAAAATTAGCCACTTCATTCAGAAGGCATGAGAGGATGGACACAGACAACATACTGTCTAAATCAGATTTTGGGCTTGTATCTCTGAACAAGACACTGACCCATAACTCATTTATGCAGTACTGTTGGATCAATTACTTACTGTATGTATTTTTTTTAAGGGCAGCAGAGCAGACTGGAAGATATGCATGGTGTCCTTTCCCATGACTCATTGAGTTGCACCTGGTGACTACATCATCTTACTCCATGAAGCAATAAAAATATGCTCTTTAGTGGTTTAACTCTTATTTAATGGTTTCAGTTTGTTTGTGAGCGAGAATGGGGAAGTGTATGCATGTGGATGGGGAGCAGATGGCCAGACTGGTCTGGGTCACTTCAATTCTGAGTGGCAGCCAAGCAGAATACAGGGTGACATTGAGGGAGAGAACATTATCAAGGTGTCAAGCACAGCTGACTGTGTTCTTGCTATCAACGGTGAGTTTTCTCTATGTTAACTTTAGTACAGAAGCATTTAGAAAGCAAGTTGTATGTATATGAGTGGTAATAAGAACCTATGAGAAACAAGTCACAGAGACATCAGGTGCTGTTCAGTAGCAATGATAATTTTGAGTTATTTTGAGCCATGCTGTACTCAGTTGGTTCATGCGTGTTGCATCCTGGCATCCTGCCATTCCTTAACCTGCATCCCCACCGGCATTATGCTGACGTCTTGACCATGTGACCTTCCTTCCCTCTCCGCGATTGTCTTGGAAGGAAGTAGGTGTGTGAGCAGCCTGAAGGTAGACGTACTCACGAGTGGTTGCTTACTGGCAGCTGGAGGATTTGGAATTGAAATTATGTTTTGGACTTTGTATTTCTTAATTATGTTTGGAGTCTTTGGTCTGGCTGGTAAGGGTAAGGCTGCCCGCGGTCACAACAGAATATTCTTGATTCCAGTGCAGTTGCGACCATGTTATTATTTTTTTTTTTTTTGTATTGTTATTATTTCTGCTGAATTTTGGTGTAACCTGTTCGATGGCCTAATGAGGCTGGGGCAAGTGGGGCAGTTTTGGGTTTCTACTTGTTATGACTATCCATAATATGTGATTACTTGGGCAGTCGCTACTTTTGGTTGTGGTGCCTCGCCCTAAAAGGGTCTTATGCCATGCTTTATTTATTTCTTTCTGTATATTGTGTGCGAGTTTTCTTTGTTGTGTTGGCTATTAAATATTGTTATTGGTTGTTTTGAAAGCCTGCATATATATATTATCTCCTCCATAAATGCTTGGATACCCCATGAACACCCTGGGGAGCTTGTGAATGCAACAACAGAGCCAGAGATGAGGGCTGCTCCTCCCGAATTCTATCTTCTGATGTGCTAGTAGTAGAAAGTAGCGGTACGTGTACTGCGTGAAGGGAGAGAGAAGAGGGGGAAGCGGTTCAATTTGAGGCAGGAAGTGAATACAGAAAACTCATGTCTGTTGCACGTTTCATCTCTAAAACTATGAGCTATGAATTATTTGGATTGGTATTGCAGAGATCTACAGTAAACGCTGCAGAGTGAGTTTTATTCTGGGCAATATTGGCCCAATGCATTCTGCATTCTGTGTGAAACTCTAATCAAACTTTATATAAGTCCTTTAAAACGAAAAAGAGCTCATATAAAAACTGCTACATGATGTAAAATAAGACACACCTTATTAAGGTGTGCAGCTTCTATTTGAAACATGTTTCCATATGAGAATATTGAATGAACTAAACGGTAAAGGCAAATTAAGCATCATGCCATGGAGATGTATGGGAGAACTGAACTATAGCTCCACACATTCTTAACCTTGCCTTGGAACTAGATGGAGGTGAGTCGGCTTTACCCCCAAGGAAAGAGCCTCTGGTACCCACTGGCCAGGAGGCTGGGTGGACCTCAGGGTCAGTCTACATGTTGTGGGGAACAGGTAAATCCTTTGCACCCCTCCAAGAACCAAGCTCCAATGCCTTGGTTGTTCAGCCTATAGCCTAGCTGTACTGCCTGAACTATCAGAAGAAATAATTCCTCTGCATATTCTTGTCTGTACATGAGTAGCTATGAAACAACATATCTGTATCTCCCACAAGTGAACATCAAAATAAGTCAGAAAACTGCAGAAAGAGCATTTGGAGTAAACATATCCATTCTTGTTGGAAAAATAAAGACTGATAAAGTGTGTTAGAACCATGTATACGTATTTTGGGGTAAAAGTAGGGTTCTCAGAATTAGCAGCTCATTTGAAGCAATGTAGTCCAGTACATAATGAATATGTGCTGAAGTTTGTTGTAGTGGCATTTGACCAGAAAATATAATATCAATTACAGATAAGGGTGAATTGTTTGGTTGGGGCAACTCAGAATATAATCAACTGCTCCATGAGGAAATCCAACAGATACACACACCCAGACATTTGAAGAAATGCCAGGGCCTTGGCAAAATTGTTGATATGGCAGCTGGAGGATCCTTCTGCATTGCAGTGAATGGTAGGTCTGATGTGTGACTCTGTACCAACATTTATATAAATTTTTATTTGATTTTTGCCACCTGACTTCATGTTTCCCATCCAGCTACACATGTACCATAAATGAGAAATTAATTAAAAGGACATGTGAATACAAGTCCTATTCTGTTGATTTATGTTTATGGTATCCTTTTTATAAATTTCAGCTCTATAGTGGTGTTAATTTATTGTAAACTTCAACTAAAACTTACACAGTTTCCAGTCAGAGCACTTACTAATAGCTTGTGCCACCTTCAGGCTGATTTTCAACTGGATACATTCCCAGAAGATAGTACTCTCAAAAAGATTAGAAATGAGTAGATAACTGAATGTTGGGGAGATGGATGATGTATTCCCAGAAATGGCTTATACAAAAAATGTGATAGGCTACATGACATCAGATTTAAAACTTTTATTGCAAAGAGTTCTTGATGTGGTGACGTTCCTATGCTTGCCATGACATTCTTAACATCAGAAATGGATAGAATGGAAGGAGACCCAGTGGATAGGAGGCTGGGTGGGTCCCCAGAGCTGATCTGAACACTGTGGAGAAAAGATTCAAATGCTGATTCCTCTGTTGTCAAGGTATAGTATTGTCAATGTACTGACTGAGAACAAGAAAACCCTATTTCTTTCTCTGTACAGTGATACCTGTGATGTGACTGGATTTAAAACAAAGGTATGTATCTATAATCAATTGACATCAGGGCTAATGAAGTATGCAATAAAGTAAATACTACATTTACAAACATGCTGTCCTGTATTGTTAGCATCAACAACACTGCCAATTGTTCAACTTCAAAAATAAGAATTTAAAGAAGAGTGTGCATTTGTTCATTATACATTTCTCCACTTGTGCACTTGTTTTGACCAAATTTGGTGTAATGGCCTCCCTGGACAGTGAGAGAGAGAGATTTAAAAATGTGAATGGATTTCTATCCAAGCAAACTTATTTCCCCATTACTTAAGAAGGGCACTGGCATCATTACTAAGATACAGGGTCAAACCCAGATTATCTTCTGCCTTTATTATTATATCGGAGGCAACCCAAAGCATCTTCTGCCATTGCTAGATTTATCATAAATTTTTGTTTCTTAATTGTGCATTATGCCTGGGCAGGTTTGCTAGTACTTGATAAAGCAAATATCAGCCATAAGTTGAGAGGGGCTACAAATTTACCAAATGGTGTGACTTATTTTCTCCCACCAGAGAATGGAGATGTGTTTGTGTGGGGATATGGGATCCTAGGAAAAGGTCCCATAGTTGACCATGCCAAAGAACCCATACAGATACCATCTACGCTGTTTGGTCGCAATGAATTCCAACCAGACTCTCAGATTATTGCTGTGAATGCAGGCATTGGCCATCTTGCTGCTGTCAGCAATCATGGTGACCTCTACATGTGGGGACACAACAAAAGAGGGTGTCTGGGTCTTGGAGATGTCAAAGACCAGTTCTTCCCATTAAAGGTAAGGGTTCTGTAATTATGTGTGATTAACAACAGTCTTTTACATTGTGCAGAATCCTTGAAGATAATGATCACTCTCACCTAGTCAAATTCCCTACCATGGAACTTGACGATTAATTACTGTCTTCACAAAAGCCTGTCACTAGTCCCAAGGTTCTCACAGTGGTCACTATGAAGGCTGCAGTCATCTGGGTCATGTCACTTCCAGGTTCGGAGTCAAAGAATAAGCCAATCGAGAGACCAGCAGAACATGACAGTACAGACCAAGAGATCATATTCTACATGAATCCAGTTCATGTCCTCACACCCTATTTAAGAATTATTGTAGTATTATTCTCCAATTTATGTCTAGGTCTCCCAGGTGGTCTCTTGCTTTTAGGCTCTCAGACTAAACATCTGCATGCATTTCTCATGTGACAGTAAAAAGAAAAATTCTGCTCCTGACAGGAATCAAAAGACAGACATCCATTTCATAGCCACTTCATTGATTGAGCCCTCCTGACTTATTGCTAGGTTTTCAGTCACGTGTACGTGAAACGTTGTTGGCACCTTACTCCATGATAGAGGTTACATCCTGAGGAATCGGTAGTTATTTAAACTGTTCAATAAATTCGCTGTCTAATAAATCAAATGCTGCCTGCACTGTCCCACTTTCAGACCCTACGAACTCAATCCTTACATATAATTTTCTTAAGATTACAAACAAGCCTTACCATTGGAAAGACTGAAGCATAATTCATAGTACATACTATTTTTTTTGTACTTTCTGTTGGTATTAGCAACATTTGTAAATTATCAATTTATGTTTCGCATGACTTTTAGAAAAGAAACCACATATATTTTGCATGTGACACAAAGTAACTATTACCTGTAACAAAGCAACACAAATTTCACAAAAGTTAAGTAACATTTAGTTAAATGTTTGGCATTACAGTGGACCCCCATCTAATGTTTCTTGATTTAGAAAGTCTCCATCATTTAATGTTCAATTTCTATGGTGCCAGCTAATGATCTCAGTGTTAAATTGCCTCCTAAAATATTCCTCAGGTTAGAGTTAAAATCCACAGGTCCCCAAGAAACCTTCAGTAGCGGTTTCACCAGTTGTTTCACTTCATAAATTAAATACTATAATACTCAAGCACTGAAACACAATTTCAGAAGACTTTACCATTCCTGCTTTAAAATATGCTGATGCTTATATGAAAATGTGTGATGAAAAATTCTGTGATGTTTTCAGGTTGCAATTGGAGCTATGGTAAAGAAAGTGAGTTGTGGGGTGGATCATTCTGCAGCACTGTGTCTACCATTTGTCTGAAGATACTGTGATAAAATAATTGTAACAGTGAACCCTTTAAAAATAAATTCAAGACAACATAAAATACAGTTTTCATTATTTATTCTAATCATAGCTGTACATATGAGCAGTCATTTCTTCTTGCAAGGTAGAAAATTTGCTTACATACTTACATTTTGACCATTTAAGAATATTTTTACAGATTGCCCTTTTTATTTAGGATAGAAGAACATGGTTTCTTTAAAATAATTTTAATTTTTTGTATGAATATTTGGTATATTTTCTTCTTTTTTGCAATTTTATTTTTTCCCCACCCAGACTAGGTCACAACACATTCCTTTCACATCTATCCCAGTTCATTATGCACTAATCAGCCCGTCATTCTACACTATACAATCTGATCTACTAAAAGAGCCTTTAAAGAAACAGATATATCTACTAAACAAACATTTTAGACATAAGGAGCCAGGAGAACTCAGTCAGTAAAGTGACGGTACAGGCTGAACAGGTGGGGTTCAATTCCCAGTGTGAGGCATGAAATTCTTCTGTACTCCATAGCAACCACACTGGCTCTGAGGCCCACCCAACCACCTATCCAGGGGTGAAGTGGCCAGGGCATTAAAATAACCGCTCACCTCCATCTACTTGTAGACGAACTCTTTTGGCATTCTCACTTGTGTCTGTGTGTGAACTGCTACAGATATCTAATAACATGTGCCTACATGATTACCCAGAAGATGAATTGGGTGGCATGTATCGAACAGCAGTAAATTTGCTTCAAACATACTATCCTGGTATACACCTGCAAGCATAAAGAAAACTATGAATACCTGGACAATATGTATACTAAGATTCTGAAGGGTTCTGACAATCGTGTACAACACACAGAATTACTTGGTTTTTGGACTTTTCCATTGTCTCGATGGAATAAGTGCAAAAACCCAGTAATTTGGAATGTACATTGTCATGATAACTGAGGGACTGTTAAAAATGTACTGATGTCCTGAAATCCAATTACTACATACATGCATGCATATATTCATGCACGTATACATGCATATGCACACATATACCTACATTACATACATACATATTGTGGTCCTCTGGGTTGACTCCTGTGCTGTGGTATATGACTACCAACATTTCAAAAGAACATGTAGTCTCCCAAACACTGCTACTCACCTACTTCCCTGCATGATGCCATAACTCATGAGGGGCAAATATGGAAGATTCTTCACTGCTGTAAAGTCCTCAAACCTTTACACACATAAAGTTCCTAGCTGTTTCTGACAGGAGATATGGACATAGAATTCAAATCACAAATTTCACAACAATCCGTATTAACTTGGCTGCTTGTTTTAACAACTATTCCCAAATGCATATAGGAATTAGGCAGAACTGTGACGATATAGAACACTGTCCTTAACCTTTAAATGCCGGACTTTGAAATAGTGGTAAGCTTGAGCTGGCCGGAGTTTATTTAAATGCCTGTTGCTGCTCTGCAATTAAATGTCCGTTCCTATTAGGCGCTTAATCACTTTTAAGCGTTGTGTTTAAAAATGCTCTATCTTGCTCAATTTTTATGATAAATGGATGGTATTAACTTTGTTTATATCAGTAAAGAAGATAGTGTCGCATATTATAACGGAAGATTTGAAATTTTTAATACAAAGTGTTATAATCTATTTTCAATTTTTTTTTGTTTTAATTTTGATGCGTACTGTAAAAATGGTTTCCCAGTTCTTCAGAGTTGTTCTGCATTATAAATTTATTTCTGTTTGTAACACTTGACGAATTTTAGCAGTCCTTGG